CCACGTATGGAAGAGGCGAAGTCCCCGGATGCCGCCCGGTCCACAATAACAGACACCACCATGCTTATATGGGAAATAAGGCGCGAGAGCCCACCAGGTAAGGCGGGCCGCATAAGCACGTGGCAAGCGCAAATAGCGTAAGACGTACCCACGAGGCCACAACGCGAGAGTACGGCAGCATGAGCAGAGTACGAGAGTACAATGCCGGATCAACGCAGGGCGGACCAAGGTGTGGTAGTGCCACAGCACGAGGCACCTCAGCAGTTGGAGGTGGCGAACGCAGGGACAGCATCAATATTGGCAGCCAGCCAGCAGCAGCAGATGGGCGTGATTTTTTTTCTTCTTCTTCAAGACTAGCAACGAGGAGCAGCAGGCAACACTCGTGATTGCTTAATCACATGGCAAAAACAACAAAAATGCAACCCCATTCTATGGTGCTATGATGTGTGTGTCTCGGGGGGGGGGGGGGGGGGGGGGGCGATAATGTGTGTTGCTGTCTGGGTGTACACTGGAAGTGGTTGAGTCGGTATTTGATTAACATACAGTGTTCAGTATGGCTCTTGTAACATAGGTGTGTGAAGTAGGCTGTCCAGGCAGGTCAACTTACTCATTGCCTGTCTTGTTTGCATGCATGCTCGTGTTGTGTTTTCCTGGCAGGCGCTAGTCTGCACTTAGTTGGCTCGTCCCAGAATGGCTTTGACAGGATTTCAAGCGACGTTGACCTTTGCCTCCTGATGCGCAACCATTCTGTAAGGTCTACTAGTAGTCGGCTGGCCGAAGTCTGTTAGCACTGATGACGGACTACATGCGTGCCTGGACCTGCTACTGCTGCTGTCACTATTGGTTTACTTGTATAGTGCATACAGTGTAGAGATAATGTCCTGTCTGCCAGTACATCATGGCTGCACTCTGACAGTGTTCATGCACTTGTCTGCTGCTTTCACGCGGCACTGCTCCTGCTGTATAGATGGAGCGGGGAGACTGGTCAAAGACAAAGCAGATGAAAGGTCAGGCTCTTCTCATACTCAAGAAAGTACAGAAACTTTTCGCGAGAAACCGTGAGTTCAATGTTGTTGTTTTTTGCCCTATGTTTTCCCTGGTCTGTTCATTGCTGTATTTGGGAGATACTCAATCCAATCCTGCCATAGACACATTGTTTTGATATTGATAGCGTGATACTTGCAATCAAGAACATACGCCTAAAAACAAACAAAACAAACATATGCCCCCTATCCATTTCTTTGTGTCGGTTCTGTTGTCCTGGGATCTCGTTTTGTTTCCTGTCACTTTTTTGCCAGGTCCTTGGCAGGCTTTGCAAGTGTGGCTGTTCATTGTACATTACTCAGCTTCATGAGTGCATGCTTTGAGTAGTGGACACTGCATATACTTGCACACCCACCCAAGTGGGTGGGTGGGTGGGTTTTGCGTGTGTGCGCGTGCGTGCGTGCGTGTGTGTGTGTATGTGTGTTTGTGCATGTGTGCTGCTGTGCGCTGATGTGCCTTCTATGATTGTGCTGATTGGTTGTTGTTCTACCCGATTGCTATACCCATTCAGAATGGTTTACTCATCTTGAGGTTATTCCTGCAAGGGTACCCATTCTGCGTTTCTATGACAGCTACGGGTGAGTGACGAAGCACGGAGATGTGTTGTAGAATTGTTGAGCTTGGTATAGGTGTGCTCATCCTTCCTGCTGCTTGAGTGGTGTACTTCAGCCTCTGATTGAACACTATACTGTAGCCTCTGATCGAACACTATACTGTAGCCTCTGATCGAACACTATACTGTAGCCTCTGATTGAACGGTATATTTTGGCCTCTGCTTGAACGGTATATTTTAGCCTCTGCTTGAACGGTATATTTTAGCCTCTGCTTGAACGGTATACTGTAGCCTCTGCTTGAACGGTATACTGTAGCCTCTCTTTGAGGAGCAGCAGCTTCTGTGTGTGCAATGTGCTGTATGTACGTGCTGAAGTGCTGCTTGATTCATTGCTGTATGATCGACACAAATTCCGCCATGTGTTGTACAATGGGTGAGTAGTTGCAGAAATAGAGCCCCCGCCCATATAGAAGAGAACCAGTCCGATTGTCGTATTGCAAAGGTCACACTCCGCTGAGTACCTGACCTTATGTGCCTTTATGTTAAGGTAATCCTTTCTGTGGTGTGGTTTTTGTCTGCGTTTCTTTTGCTTGGATTTTGTATAGGCGTTTTGAAGTAGATCTCAACGTAGGAAACCATGTTGTAAGTTGACTGTAATGTGTTTATCTTACGGGTGGAGTGTTTCCCTGTCATCAGACATTCTACACAAAGGTCTTCAAAGCTATAGTTTTCATGTTGTTGACTCGTTGATTTTCCGCTGCTGATTTTCCTGGTCAGACTGCGGCAAAATCGAAATAATCCTAGGATTATAATCCGAATCTCCATAGTAACTTGCCGCCAGAGTGGCAAAAGCGGGAATTGACACTCCAAAAAAAAGCAAGAACGGACCACGCTTTTCCGCTCCAACAGGAGTTTGACGCTGGTACGCCATTGACGCTGATATTCACTTATTTTTTCATCTCGATATCGAGGAGCTGATTGGCCACGGACAACAACAAAACTCATAAGGATGGTTGCAAGGATTGCACTGAAGGTGTTGGTGATCCCCAAGGTGAAGGAATTTGACGTCGTTCGTGGAGATTACCACTTGACGCTCGAAATGAAGTTTGAATTTTCATTCTCCCCACATGTGTAGTGTGATCGCGATTCTAATTCTGGACGCTTTTCTGTTTTCGTCAGGCAACCAAAATTTGCCGCAGTCTGACCAGGCCCTTATAGCCCAGCAGGAAGGGTGAACAAATGGATTTAGATTGAAATTTCTGTGTGGACTTTGACTTTTATGGCTTGGCATAGTGGGTGAGTCATTTTGCATCTAAAATATCTAGGAAAGCAGCGATGTTTCGAATGTAAGACCATGGCTTTCAAGGCGCTGACATACGGTATGTATCAAGAAAAACAATAGAGAGGTTCTGCAAAACGAAAATGTGTACGAACTTTCGCTCTACGTCACGAAGTGAGAAACTTCGCATGAACTTTCGCAACTTTGGACGCGAAACTTGCAGGGAGCGCAAAATGAACTTTCGTAGGAAGTTTCGTGAGATTGGGTCATGGCGTACGTGCACTTGGCGCACGCAAACTACGCAAATGTGCAGAACACAAAGTTCGTGTGAAAATTCATACACATTTTCGCAAGGCCTGTCGCGAAACTTCGTTTGAATTTTCGTCTTGCAAAACCTCTCTATTAACAAACTTTGTTTTTCGCTTTGAGATCGTATGGTACTCTATCTTTTGAGCAGAAGGCACAAAAGCAGCCAGATCCATGCAAACACACTAGAGGGAGAGGGGTGAGTTAGACGGGTGAAGAGGAGAGTGGTGAAGGAGAGTGGTGAAGGAGAGGGGTGAAGAGGAGAGGGGTGAAGGAGAGGGGTGAGGGAAAGTGAAAGGGGCGAGGGAGACGGGTGAGGGACCATTACAGAGAAAGAGAAATATTAATAGGGTGAAAGTGAGCTGGTATAGAGGTAAGGACAATGGGAAAGAAGAGATATACAAGGAGACAGGCAAAGGGTGATAGAGAGAAAGACAGAAGAGGGCTGAGAGCGACAAGGCATGTGATACCACATTCATCCACTGACAAGCAGGTATCAGTCGTGTCACACATTAGCTGCAAGAGCTGCCATAATATCAGGAACCTTACCTACGGGACCCAGAGCTGGACCAAGGAAGGTCGTGTTCCTTGTCTTGTCGGGTAGGCACGTGGCCTCTCTTGGGTCTGTCAAACGTGCACAGACATCGTGCAGCGCACAACAGACTAAGGCAACATCAGCGGCAAAGGAAGGATCATTGACATTTGCCGTAACCAACACATTGAACCGCTGCTTGGCTCCACCATAAGCTTGCTCCACCACTTTGCAAGCAGAAGCGATAGCATTGTTGAAGGGTACATTCCCTGGGACTGGTGAATACGGATGATATCCCTTCACCAGCGTTTGTGACAAAGCTAATGCACAGTCAGCTACCAGGTATGGCTGGACACAGACATCGTTGATTTCTTTCACCTGCTCATGGAGGAGCTGCCGCGACTCAATTTTTGTTTTCAGTGCGCAGTTATTCCAGGTGAAAGCATCTCCAAGTGAGCCCGCCCTGCCAGCGCCGACAAACATGAAATGGCCCCGGGCATTCACCACTGCCAGCACAATGATCGCCGGAGACTGCTTGTAGCACCAGTAGTGATCGCCTCATTCACGTGGTTTCCTGATGCGCGTGAAAGTGCCATCTAGTGCACCGGCACAGCAATGGAGGCCAGACATCAAGTGGAATTCCTCCATTGTTTGCGCTAAGTTCTCGCCACGAGGGAAGACAATTGCCTTTGGTAGCAGAATGTTCTTCATGGCTTCGAATCCCTGGTGGATGATGAGGTGTACCGTCGATGTGCCAAGACGGTACGTAGACGCAAGCTGCCTCTGGGCACAACCATGCCCCAGCCAGTGCAAAAGGACAGCCAGACGCTTTCCTGGGCAGATGCTCAGTCGCAGGTGAATGTCCTGGAATGAAAGGGGCTTGATAAGCAGGACCAGCAGCCAGTTGAAAAGGCGGTAGTCAACTCGAAATGACTCGACGTATTTCTTGTCTAAGTATTCCTCGCTATGAGCAACACTGGGAACGCCGGGCATACTCCTTGGCTTGTTTGAGTCACTTTCCCAGGCAGTTCCTCTCCCAGAAACCTTGCTGCTGCTGGCTGACTGGGGTCGGGTGCAGGGAGCAGGATAGCCTACGCCTCGGTGCACTCAAGAACTGGTGCTGCAACTCTTGCTCACACAGGATTCTAAATTGAACAGATGGTCATCTCGATGCCTTCCTTCTTTTGAATAGCATAATTAGAGCAGTAAACAGGTCCATCTGATACCGGAGAACAAACACTATAGACTATGAAAGAACAGTCACAGGAAGAAACGACGAATGGCCATTCGTTTTGGCTTTATTCCTCCTTTTGAGTGCAGAATTGGTGTGTTTTGTGCCGTATCCATCCTTTCTTGTCATGACGTGATCTCTTTCCATTACTGTGGTAGGTGTAGTTCAAGAGTACAATATTGATTAGATATATACCGGTATTTTCAAGGATTCTCCGGAGGCAAATGGATGCCTATCAACGGTAGTCACCTGGGGAACGGAAGTGAAGGTGGCTGTTATCAGAGAGGGAGGAAGGGACATGACAAGGTGGAAAATAAAAATAATACAAAGCAGGAACAGCAGAAGCTATTTCAAATTTGGACTTCACGGAGAATTTCAAAGTTTTTAGGAAATTAGAGGCCACATGCCACCTACTGCTCTTTTCTCTCCGAAAATAGCAAGGTCCCTGGTTCGAGTCCCGGTGGTGTGACTGATGATTTTTTTCTTTCTTTCATATCTGGCTTGCAAGCAGAAGCTACTTGCAAGAATTCGGTAGACCTCGTACAGAATACTTGTGGTGCAGGCAGTGTCTACGCACAGCAACACTGAATCGGCTAGCGGATGTCAGACAGCGGATTTCTTCTGGCAGCTTATTCCAGGCAACACTGAGACGAAATAGTGTTATATGCATGCCTTGCTTGATAGGTTAACATGTAGGACGATGACAGTATGTTACGAGGCGGCGGGCACACTGTATGGAATTGGAAAACACGTACGGTTCGAATGGCCGCATGACCGAGACTCTACCAACCGGTTTCTGGTTGCAGTCAGGAACACTGTTTTCCATACAATGTGTCTTCCGCCTTGTAACGTGCTGTCATCGTAAAAATAACTCAGATGGTGAGCCAAGGAAAACTTGTAACGTGGAAAAATGTAGGCACAAGTTATGCTCAAGCTGACTTTCATGCCGTGGAATGTCTCAGTACTCCTTGTCAGTTTTGTGCTAGATTGTACACGTCTGACTGTTCAAAATCCGGTTTAGTTGGTTGACTCGATCGGATAACTTGTGCCCACATTTTCCACGTTACAAAAAGAAAAGAAAACAAGAGTACATTAGTACCCTGGCTGCAGTTGTCTTCACTTTCGAGTTTTTCACAAAGCAGGACATCCCAAATTTGGAGGATTCAGATCGTCTCCTCCACATTTTCGTCGTCCTGGATGCGTCGATGGTAGAAACTAGAAATTGAGCCTGGTGACGACGCCGCACAAAATCATGCCATCTCATAGTTCTCAACCGAGTACAAGACCTAGAGACTCCGATAGAACAGAAATAAACCACGAATGGCTCTGGCTATATTTTTCATCTTGAGTCCATAACAAATTGACGTGCATTGTGCTTTTGTACCGTATTTCCCCGATTATAAATCGCACTCACTTTTAAGTCGCGCCCCCACTTTCAGGTCTGAGCCATCTTGTTTCCATATGTTCGCGTATATGGGTTGTCACACTCGATTTTAAGTCGCATCCCCTTCTTTGCACTTGAGGTTTTAATAGGAAGAAAAAAACATGCGACTTATATTCTGGGAAATACGGTATACTTACAAAAAAAAAGACGCGTTGACGACTCCCTGCTTTTCGTCTTTTTTTATCTCTTTCCTTTTATCTAGAACGTTGACACGAGTAGTACTCATGAGTTTGAGTACCCCGGTTGTGCTTGTTATCTTTTACTCTCTTGCTTCGACAATGTCCCAGTTGCAGGAACCAACACGCCCAGAATTTGAGAAATCAAACTTACTTCAGGCCAGGTTGTACACATAATACACGTCATGTCTACGGTCATGTTGCCGCCAAGTCGTGCCACTCCCCTCCGGAGGTCACAGTCACGGTTTGAAACGTAGCCGTGGAGTTTGGGTCAAGTGCAACTCGGCCGCAGTGTGAGCGGGCCGTTCCCTTAGCGACTATTTTGAGAAAGACATGATAATTATAGTGCAAGATGGCAGTTGCTTGGTGTACGTTGCAGCCGTCCACTCATGCTGCTTGTGCTGTTTTGTTTTGCTTCACACTTTGTCTTGCAGGGCATTCAGAATACGCATCTGTTACGCGTATATGCCGCAGGTGAGTTGGTGTTGTTTGTCTTCTGTGACTGGCCAATCTGTGCATTTACGGTGTATGTGTGTGTGTGCGTGTGTGTGTGTGTGTGTGTGTGCGTGTGTGCGCGTGCGCATGTGCGCCCGCTTACGTGTGTGCGAGTGGGCGTGCATGTGGGCGGATGTGTCTTTGCATCTGTGCATACTTGCATGTGTGTATGTGTGTGTGTGTGTGTGTGTGTGTGTGTGTGTGTGTGTGTGTGTGTGTGTGTTGGGGAGGGGGGCAATTGATAAGATGTTCCGATGGGCGGTGAGGTGAAATGGCTGCTTTGTCGGAGCCGCAAATGGGAGCTTGTTGCCCCGATCTTGTAAGACCTCTATGTGTGTGCGTGCATGCATATCCGTGCTTTTGTGGGTGTTTTGTGCGTGCATGTGTGGCTGCATGCATGTGTGTGTGTACGTCCAGTAGATCACTTACTCATCATTGTGTTTTGTGTGTCCGATACAGCTGACCCCCGTGTGTCTATCCTCGGCGTATTGCTGAAGCAGTGGGCTAAGAAACACAACATCAACAATGCGGCGGATGGCACACTCTCCAGCTATGCGTTAATTATGATGTTAGTCCGGTACCTGCAAGGTATGTACTACACACCAGCAGCAAGTACAGTAAAACCTGGCTAAGCCGATTGCTGAAGGGACCTGCGAAATGTGGTCTCAGTTAACAGGTGGTCTCCTTATCCAGGGTCATTTGACTGGAAATAGCATCCCTTGGTCCTGGTTCCTGTGGTCGTCCAGGACAGGTGGTCGCCTTCTCCGAGTGGTCGCCTTGACAGGTTTTACTGTACCAGGCTAGGGATCCAAGGTCGTCTACAAGAAAGAGAAATATTTTCATTCCATTCTATATTCTGTAGGCTGTCTAGGTGACGCCGGCGTGTTTGCGTGGTGGCGAGGGGTGTTGTTCTTGTCGTTGTCTGTGGGGGCCAACATTGTCAGGAGGCCGGTCGTGACGATGATCCACGGGCCCCTAGCGGCTGGCCGGGGCATTTCTAGCAGAACGTCGTTCTTCTTGCGTCTGTGGCTGTGGGCCCTGCTGAGCTCTGCGTGCTTTACCACGTGCTGGCTCTGGTGTCACATATTCCTCTGCTGGTATCTGAGCATCGTGATTGGACGCGGCGTTGGGCTTGTGTGTTAGGTGTTTGCTGCTCCTTTGCTACTTTCTTGGTGTGAGTACTGGGTGATCTGCTGTCAACACGGCAGTGGTGGTCATCACTTCTTAGATCAACCTTGTGCATTTGAATGCAATTCGGGGCTTTTGTCTTTTTTTGTTCCATTTGTGCTGCGTTAACCATGTGTGTGTGTGTGTGTGTGTGTGTGTGTGTGTGCGCGCGTGCGTGCGTGCGTGTGCGCGCGCTCGCCTGTTCGTTTGTATGCACAGCATGCAAGCCTCCCGTCGTCCCGTGCATCCACAGAGACTTCCCGGTAGGACACTAGTACTATCACAATAATATGATGCTGCTGCATTGGAGTCTTCACATCATTTGACACTCGTGCTACCATTCTTATTGCTACTAAGCTACACATGGTACACATGATGTTCAGTTGTACTGGACTATTGTAGCTACCCTATAGCTCCATGTAGCAAGCATAGCCCAACCCAGACCCGGCTGCCCAAGCAGCAGCACTCTCTTTCCTGCTCTTCACACAACTAGATAACCTTGTAACCAGTGCTGATGTTTTTCACAGCGGTGACTTCCTTCTTGTCCATTCTTCGTCTTTGTTTTTTTCTTTCTCTTTTCTTGTTTGTTGCCTGTATATACTATTTATGCACCGTGCTGTTTCTATGTGTTGTGTGGATGCAGAAAGTGTGCGACAAGCTGTTTGGCCCGCTGTCGGATGTGAATCAGCTAACGGTGAAAGATTGCACGCAGTTGTTTGAATTCAAGCCGTAAGTCGCGTCACTGTCTTCAGATGCTGACCACTTCGTCATGAGTTGTCCAAGGTTCACTGGCCGGGATTGGGAAACTGATAGGGTTTACTAGCAAGGGTTTAGAGGCTGATAGTGTTCCTAGCAAGGGTTTGGAGTAGGGGTGAAACGATCAATCCTTTGACTGTCGCGGTGTTCTGCTGCTGCCGGGGCTCTAAGGACCAGCGAAAATGGGTCATTTTTACTGAAAACACACCACACGTAAAAGTCTCTAACTCGGGCAAACCATTCTCCGAATTTCAAGGTCTTTGGCTTCCTGGAAAGCTACTGCAACAAAGGAAAACGATGAGCTGAAGCATCAGTCTTCACAAGGTTGAAAACTAAGTCAAAGAAAGTTTGCTTTCAACAGGTGCCTCTTTACATCATCACGTTCGAACTCGGGGAGGAATGACAATGCACGGAATCGCGGATCTATTGCAGAGGCCAGGATCCTGAAGTCCAGATGCCAGAGATTTCCTGAATTGCTGGAAATATTTCAATTGAAACTTTACACAACGAGGAAGGGCACTGCTGAAGTAAAACATCAACATGCAAATACTCTAGTCCAGTACCTATGGCTGAGTTTCAAAACGTCCTCCGTGATGTTTCTTGGACATGAACAAGACTACTGAACTTGCAAGCTACACGTGATTCGTCTTCGGCCTGGCGTGGCCCACACCTGTTCTCCATTTTGTTCACAAGAGGCAAAAGCGGACTAGCGGTTACATACTTAGCGCCACCAAGAACATCAGTTGCCTGGTCACAATCTCCTTGGCAACCTCCCAGTGGTGGTTGTGGGGCACAAGCTGCCAAATATCCCTCTTCTCACTCCTGTCCAACACAGCAATCACGTTGACTTTCAACTTGAGCAGCCGAACTCAGCGTATAGTACGAACTATTCCAACGTGTCGGACAGTCCTGGACTAGCCGCAATCCATTGCCGCCTTGCTCCCGCAGCGACGCTTCAGTCGCTTTGCTACTATGGTGGAAGTGACCCACCAGGCAGCCATCATGTTTGCTGCTTCATCATGCACCAGCGTGGACACCTTGTGCTTGGGCAATTGGTATCCAGTTGAGCACTTTTCCACAGCGTGCTCAGCAATTCTAACAGCAGTGGGAGAGCCACTGACCAGGGTTGTGGAGAGAACGTAATTCTCCAACGTCCAGTCGGCACTGACACAGTGAGCCATGTACGTGACGAAAGACTGGGTTGCCCGAGACGTCCAAGCGCCGCTGGTTAGTGCCAGCACAGGTACATTTTGCAGCAGCGTCGTCAGCTCCAGCACGCCAGCAGAGTGAAGCTCAACCAGGTGTATCACCCTCTCCCTGATAGTTTGCGGCTTGACGGCTGGCAGGGCTACTGAAATTTCCATCCAGGCTTTGGAGCCAACGAAAACGGTTTTGAATAACCACTGATTTGCCTGAGCACAGCGCAGTCGTCTGCAACCCCAAAGTGAAATTGAGTGGACTTGCCACTCGATGAGACAGGCGAAGATGAAACAGGTGAATCACACGAGGATAAGGCTAAAAAAAACTAGCACAAAGCTTGGAGGAAGTGAAAGTAAACTGAGAGTGGTTGTGACCAATTTGAACTATCGATATCGATCATGTCACCATATGCTCAACACTGCACTTTTTCTTTCAAAAGCCAGAATGGAAGAGAGAGAGAGAGATGCGGAAGAGAGTCATAAACTTATCCCCCAACCCATTCAAGGAGCACCTCCGTTATCAGAGCCCTAACTTCGTACTCTACGTAAACAACTTTCCGTAAGTGGAGTGCAAACTCGCGAATTCACGGGTTTTTCCCACCCACTAACGTAAAGTTGCTCAACTTTACGTAGTGCGGAACCTCTCTGGTCACGAATGAAGTGCGCGAAAGCAAAGCATATCCCAGCTGAAGAAAAGACAACGCTACCGACTCTTCTCACTAGCGACAGTGGCCGACAGTTCAAGAAAAGAAACTACATGTATGATCACAAAGAGAAAAAGGAATGGAAACTTGGACCATCGCACAGGTAAGAACTGAAGGCTATTTGTTGAGAACAGCGTGTTTCGTGAAGCAGCCGATACGAAAGTCCACGGGTACGGATTGCAGACTTTGAGTAAAAGTGTCACACTCGCACAGACAATGTGTGCGTGTGCAGTGCAGAACAAAGTCAACACAGACAATGTGTGCGTGTGCGTGTGCAGAACAAAGTCAACACAGACAATGTGTGCGTGTGCAGTGCAGAACAAAGTCAACACAGACAATGTGTGCGTGTGCAGTGCAGAACAAAGTCAACACAGACAATGTGTGCGTGTGCAGTGCAGAACAAAGTCAACACAGACAATGTGTGCGTGTGCAGTGCAGAACAAAGTCAACACAGACAATGTGTGCGTGTGCAGTGCAGAACAAAGTCAACACAGACAATGTGTGCGTGTGCAGTGCAGAACAAAGTCAACACAGACAATGTGTGCGTGTGCAGTGCAGAACAAAGTCAACACAGACAATGTGTGCGTGTGCAGTGCAGAACAAAGTCAACACAGACAATGTGTGCGTGTGCAGTGCAGAACAAAGTCAAGTATTGGTACACCGGTGAAGAAAATTCAAAATTCATGCGAAGAAAATTCAAGTCTAGCCATCCCAAACCCAGGCCCCAAACCCAGACTGATAGTGTTTGCTAGCAGGGGTTGGGAGACTGATAATGTTTGCTAGCAGGGGTTGGGAGACTGATAATGTTTGCTAGCAGGGATTGGGAGACTGATACGGTTCTCTGGCAGGGGTTGGGAGACTGATACGGTTCTCTGGCGGGGGTTTGGAGACTGATACGGTTCTCTGGCAGGGGTTGGGAGACTGATACGGTTCTCTGGCAGGGGTTGGGAGACTGATAAAATTATGTTGCAGCACGCTCACCATTGTCACGCAAAGTTGCAATTCCTTGGTTGTGGTCCTTATTTTTGAGTCGACCACACCGCTGGCTTCTAAAAAGCTCATTCATCAACAATTATTTCAAATTGTTTGCTTAGTTTGAACGTTGTGTGTTTCTGCGTGCATGTTTGACTGACTCACTGTTTTGTGACTGGTACATACCTTGCAAGGACACTAACCTAAATTGTTTGTGTCGATGTTTGTGTGTACCCAGGAGCGCCAATCGCCAATCTCTCGGAGACCTTTTACGTGGATTCTTCTTCTTCATGTCGGATTACAAGTAAGTCAATGTCCACTGTCCAGCCAATACTCTGCTGATGACTTTTCTGCAGTTCCCAATCTTTTCGAAATTATGTGTGGGTGAGTGGGTGTGGGTGTGAGTGGGCGTCTCTCTCTCTCTCTCTCTCTCTCTCTCTCTCTCTCTCTCTCTCTCTCTCTCTCTCTCTCTCTCTCTCTCTCTCTCTCCCTATCTCTTTCCCTCCCTCCCTCCCTTCCCCCCTCCCCCCTCATGTATTCTATTTATCTGTTGTGCCGATCGTTCCATCTATCTCTGTCTCTCTGCTTTGACTAATTGTCGTTGTACCATTGTTCTGCCTGAACCAGCTTCCGCAGAAACTACATGTCCGTAAAGCAAGCGAAAGACCTTTCACGTGAAGAGGGCTCTCGTTTTGACACGGGATCTCTCATATGTATTGAAGGTGAGCAACCCGATCATGGTCAAATGCATTCAGAGTTTCCTGGCTCCTTAGCCTTTACAGCTCTTGAGTTCCTACTTGTACTGTGGGCCTTTCCGGGGGAAATTGTTTCTCTCTCCAGACCACTGTAGAATTGCCTGTATGAGCCCATGGGTCTATCCTTAGTCTAACGTTATGTTCGCCGTTCTTAGGGCTGGGTTCCACTGCGGCTCCGCTGCTCGTCTTTCGCGGCTTGAAACGTCATCATTACCATAGTGACCGCGGCTCGAGCTGGAGCAGCGAGTCCGCGGCTCACCGCGAGCTTTTGCTACGATTCTTCACCAAAAACTGCGAGTCGCGGTCGCGGCTCGACCTGTTTCCCGTACTTTGCATTGTTTTGTACGCCAGAATTTTAAAATTCAAATTTAAATTCGTTGCGCAGGCCAGAACACGAGGATTTTTTTGATTTCGCGCGCGCGCAGGCAGGTGAAACGTCATCAAAAAGTGTGGAGCACGACCGCGGTACCGCGAATGGCGAGTGTCAGTGGAACCGCGCTGCTCCGCTGCATGCAGCCAAGTGCCGCGGAGCAGCGGAGCCGCAGTGGAACCCGGCCCTTAGGCATAAACGATGAACTACTCTGATCCATTGGTGTGGTTCAGGGGCTGTGGTCAAATTGGCGTGTTGTTCGAAAGAGCTTGCGGCCATTCAGTTTGCCCGTGCTGCTGACATTCTGACGCACATGTAATTGTGGAATGTGGCTTCAGGTTGCGGTATCCATTGCGTGACCTTCTGGACCTGCTGCTTCCCTTACTGAGCTTGCAAACATGCCTTGGCTTGTGTTTCTCTCTCCCCCCCCCCCCCCCCCCCGTGCTCAATGTGTGGCAGAATGGTTGTCTTTCAATGTTCTAATATCACTGAAGTACACGACGAGAAGGATCTCGAATGGTCACCAGACTGCCAGTATGATATTTCAACCCGTTTGTTTTCCCTGTATGTGTGGTGGCTTGCATGTGTGTGGCTGTGTGGGCTTGCATGTGTGTGGCTGTGTTGGTTTGCATATGTGTGGCTGTGTTGGTTTGCGTGTGTGTGGCTGTGTGGGCGTGCATGTGTGTGGCTGTGTGGGTTTGCATGTGTGTGTATGTGTGGGCTTGCATGTGTGTTGTTTCTATATGCATAGATCCTCTGGATGGCGGCAATGTTTCAAGAGCTGTGAACCAGAAACAAAACATGAAACTTATCCGCGGCGCATTCATTCGCGTAAGACCATTTTCATCATGCACATCTTTCCTGGGTGTGCGTGTGTGTGTGTGTGTGTGTACAAGTGTGTGTGTACAAGTGTGTGTGTACAAGTGTGTGTGTACAAGTGTGTGTTTGTGTGCGTGTGTGTGTGTGTGTGTGTGTGTGTGTGTGTGTGTGTGTGTGTGTGTGAAGTGTGAGAAGTGTGCTTGGCAGCACTGGGAGATATACCGTGGACGGTGTATGGGCTACACACAGTGCAGTGTGATGTGTCTCTGCTCCATACCCAGTGACTGAGTGCAGCATGTACACTCACTTGCAATGATTGGTTGCATGTGTTCTCATGTCCCCGGAGCGACGAGACATGACTGTATCAAGTGGCTTCACATCAGTTTGTCATGTTACTAAACTTTTGCCGAGAGTGATCATGGCATGTGGACAGTGGAACCAACATGGCCGACATCATGTGACCCATAGATGCAGGGGTTGAGTGGAGTTGGAACCAACATGGCTGCCCCTTACGGTCATGTGATAGATGTGCAACCACTTTATACACATTGTTATTATGTGTTTGTTTATGTGTTTCTGTGTGCTACAGGCATCAGAGACACTACGTCACTCTCCTAATTTGTCAGCCATCGGCCTATCGGTTGAGAACAGTGGAGCCCCTCAGAGTTTGATGAATTTCAATGGCGGTCCCCAGAATCGACGCTGACACTGAGTGTTGTCAAGGTTACATTGTACGTCATATTCTGTTGGCAACGTTGTGTGTATCTTCGTTTCTATTGACCGGAGTCTATGTCTTGTTTGTTGATTGTACGGGCACTGCATTATCTCCAGAACTCGAAGCGGTTTTCCTGTTGCGTGTGCTTGATTTGCTTTTCCTTTGCTTTCCATTTTGTTCTGTTCATTTACCTCTGCTTGAATTAGACACAATTCTGCTTGAAGTAGAGTGGATTATAATTATCATCATGCCAGGGTGCTCATCGCTTTATTCCGTATCCGTGTGTATGTGTGTGCGTGCGTGTGTGTGTGTGCACGTGTGTCTGTGCGCGTGCATGCGGGCACATTGATTGCTTTTTGGAAATACTTCATCCTGTGGCAGTGCTCCTTAGTACAGGTAGCAGCTCTATTGAGTAGTAACCCGTCGTACCAGTACCACTGATGATTAGCTCAATGACGATGTAATACTGAAGTGCTTCATTGTTGTTTTATCCCCCAATGTGTAACATGTACCCGGACGCTTGCCTGCTGCTCCTGTCTGTATCTGCATCTACCAAAGTCTACTTTTTCTCTCACGAAATACACGCACGCATACACACATCATGGTGTCTGGTGTGTTCTGTTCTTCATCCGCCTCCCTCACCCCGTCGTCCTCTTTTCTTTCCGTCTTATATTAAGTTGTAGTGCTGCTGCTATACTCCGCCGCTAAGTTTGAAGCTGGAAGCACGCTCCATGATAGCAAGAGTACATAACCCCCCAGAGTGTGCAACGCCTGATCCAGCTCTGCATAGGGTCTTGGTCGAGCGGAATCGGATCTTTGCGTCATAATACCGTACACATCTGAGGGGAACCCGGGGAGTCGCGGGTACTCTTGGATCAAAAACAATGGTGCCCTGCCTCGAGACCGGCCTTGCGCTGGTGTGAAGTGTACGCATGACATCAGAAGATCCGATTCCGCTCGACCAAGACCCTACACAGAGCTGGATCGGCGTTGCACACTCTGGGGGTTATGTACTCTTGATGATAGGTGCTGGTGCTCTCCCTGATTCGCTGGCTGCTTTGCTTGTGGATTCTTTTTAAATTACTCCCAGAAGTAGGCTGCTGTTGATTATTATTGTATAATCGGTATAACTGTACTTCATAGTTGATGGAGTGGTGGAACGATGATGTAATTGTTGTTATTCAGTGACTTGTCGCTGCTTTGCTTGTCGGTGTGTGTGTGTGCTGCTGAATGTTGCATGGAGTGCAGGAAAGTAATTTGTTTCCATAGTGACCACAGTCATGGCTCTACCAGAGGGCTTTGGTAGTTTCTCCTCATTCCCTTCTCGGACCTGTAGCGCTAATATGCTTTAAACACTGTACAACCCCAGGGGCCGATAAGAGCAGAAGAGATGTCATGCTTGACATCTCTTCACCTCTACCCACTTCTTGGCCGGGTAGCTGTGCAAGGTGACATTACCAGTGAGTTTGCCTATCTTCAGACGGACAAGGGAGAGATGATCAGATACTGGGTGGATGTTAACGTTGAACTTGAAGTAAGTCCAGCAAGTCAGATTAAAATGTCGTTCTCCTATTTATGTTTTGCAGATTGAGTACCGGTATGCTTTACAACTTCGTGTACTTTGAATTAAAGTACACCGGTGGTGCAGAAACAACTACCGACTAATTCACAAATTGATCACCAGAGAAGTGAGTGGACCCATGCATATGCACCCATGCATGGGATGTTTTGTTGTAATGAGTGTCAATTCGCAACCATGATCATTCTAGCCCCGCATGGATGGTGATACTCGGGTTCGTAAGACATGGCGTATTACGGTATTACTTGCTGTAGTTATGCGCTATCCTGCAGGCCAGAGGCAATCAAGAGCTCATTCTACCCCTCCCCCCCCCCAACACACACACACAGAAGATGCTAGTGCAAGGGTAGAGAGATCTTGCCGAAGCTTTGTTTGAAATCAAGTGTAACAAAGAAATTCATTCCACTTGCACAGAAACGGCGGCGAGAAGCAGCAGCATGGCTGGATGCGTTCCAAGCCGGCGAGGGGCAGTGGTTGAACTTGATGTCGGAATATCTGGCTCTGCAATACCAAGAGTACATAACTCTTGGCGATACTTATCATCATTCCTGTATAAGGCGAAAGACAGTAGAGTAAGTCCTCTATGCACACAGTACCCAATACCACCAATACCAGTCCACTAAGGCAATGCAGAGGTTCCTTACAAATAAGGTAGAATGAGGTCGCATTGCGACTCGCGGTTCACGCTCACGCAATTAGGCAAAATCATTCCAGGGAAATGCACGTAGATTTATTCCTATTAGTGATGAAAGCAACTGATGGAACATAATACCAGTTGTGCCTATGGGCTCTCCAGACCTCTGAACCATCCACTGCCGTAGGTTGCGCAATAGTACACGCCTCTCTTGACTTGGTCTATTGCGCAATCACGAAGTCGACCCGGCTGCCATACGTATCTGTTGACCTTCTTCCAAGACACACCAGCATCGTGTGAGAGGTACACACCCGGGTTCAGGAAGTTGACGGTATGCGATGGGTTGTTAGCGACCAGAAGAGTCGTTGTATCCCATGCTGCTATCTCCACATCAATCACAAAAGGCATGTAGAAGATTTTCTCCCACTTGCTGTCGTGTCCAGCACTTCTTCTCCACACACCACCGCCAGATACATTACTATAGCTGTAGCCACATGCAATGTACAGGTTTCCATCTTCATCCACCTCCACGTCATTCACTCCTCCAATTCCTGCTGGTATGTCGACTTTGCTCCACTGCAAACCTTTGTTTGTGGACATGTACAGCCCTCCAGTGGGGTCATGGGCAGGGTGCTGCTGATCTAGGTACGCCACTGCAGCATAGAACTCTCTGCTGTTGTTTGGATTGAAGAGGATTTTGTTGACATTGCGATTACCAGGAAGACCGTTGTTGCGTCTGCCGAAAGTCTTTCCGCCGTCGGTACTTGCGTACACACCAAAGTCGTCAAAGCCTTTCGCCTGCGGGATGTGATACTCAACTCGCAGAGCTGGAATGCAAAAGTAAATGGTACTGGAGTTATCCGGGTCAAACATCAAACTATTCTGTACAATAGTTGGATCATGTATGTCAGGAAATTTTACCGGGCACGAGACCGGTTCCCACGTGACGCCATCATCTACGGAACGAACCAGACATCCCGCGCTCCACTGTCGGAAATGTAGCGTATAGAATGTCTTTGTGTCGCGTGGATCAATTGCCACAGAAGACGTGGATGCTTCCGCAGGCATGAACCTGGCCATGCCGGCCTGGGCATTCTTCCGTACTAGATCTCCATCGTTCGTCGTTGACCACAGCCAGTTTTCACCGGTGCACATGAAGAGAGTTTCCGGAAAGCGTTTGTCTTGCATGAGTTCTTCGCATGGCGTGTTGCTATTCCCTGCTCCAACCCAATGTCCACTTTTTGGTGATGTCTCTTGTTCTTGGGACGAATACCATGATAGTCCGTTGTCTGTACTGTTTGTAACCACTTTGGCTACTTGCACCATTAGAAATGTTCCATCGGCGTTGAAATCCAGGATGTCACCTGACTTGACAAAGTAGTCCGATTGCTTTTCGATCCACATCTTTTCCAGGTATGCCAAGTGCACGTTAACACCCATGGGATTGCCACGTGACTTCCAGTATTCTACTGACTCTCCCGTTGTGTTCTCCCAGATCTTGCCGCCACGCCAGCACGAGTCCCAGTGTACTCCGCCGTTATGTGTGCACCACATCACTACGGGCATCGTGGACACTTGGGACTTGTAGTCGTTCATCACGTAGATGCGCGATGCGTTGTTCGGGTCCACTCGTACTCGTACCAAGCCATCCAGGAAATGCTCGGGTATGTTCGGATATGTTTTCATGGCTTCATCAATGCTGATGCTAAACCAAATGCTCAGGAACTGATAGTAGTACCATTTGACCTGATAATCAGTTGCCAGCAAAGACATATTGATGTGCATATCGCCGACTAGACTCTGCCAGGTGACTCCCTCGTCGACACTCTTGAATATACCACCGGTCTTGGAGGCCACTCCACCAGCCCCATCTGCCTCCCACATAGTCAAGGTTAAGACATAAATCTCAAACTTCTTGTTGATCTTGTCCACCCTGACGTCCATGTCCCTGACAATGTCATTATCTACATGCAGTAGTGTCCACGTATCACCATGATCTATACTCTTGTACAGTCCGTATGTGGTGGCGGCGAATACATGACTGGACACGAGGGGATTCACAACGATTCGAACAATGTTGGCATCTTGAGGAATGTTTGTGTCTTTCAGCTTGGACCAGGTCACACCCTTGTCCATGGAACGCCAGATGGAGTTCGTTGAGCCGTTCATCACCGGAGCTGGGTCTTCATTCGTGTACTGATTTGCTGCCATAGGTACTTCACTGGATGCGTTCACAGTGTTTCGATGAGCATAGACGCCGTGTGGGTGGTCGTGTGTGTACACAAAGTTGTCCATGTACGTAGCGTCACCAGCACCAGCGTACCAGATGGAGTCGTTAGTGGGATCAGCTTGCATGCAATTGATGTGTGAACTATTCCAGACAGGATCCAGCTCATAGTGATATGTCCATGTACGGCCTTTATCATTGGTGGCCCAGAGGCCCTGCGACCGGTCCGAAGAACAGAATCCAAAATTTTCGTCTTGGTAGGAGAACGCCACCGCTTTCAGCTCGATCGGTCCTGTATCTGTCACGTTCTGCGGCGCATCCCAATCTAAGATTCCCCAATACGTTGTACCTCTGTTGGACGAATAGTAAGCATTGTACATATTGGGTCCCTGGTACGTCCAGTTTGGGTCAGTTGGATGCCAGTAGCCACGGTCGCTATTACCGGACATGCCGGGACCAAACTGCGTCCACTCCACTGAGAGATCGCTAGTGACCTTCACCGTCTGTAAAGACTTGAAGAATGGCGGTGTATCGTCATCAAACTGCTGTGGTCCGTCGCGTACTTTTTGCTTCGCTACTTTCTTGTTGGCTTCTCTGGACGAGACGAAACAGAGACAGCAGACGACTAGCAACGCTATTTTGATCCGCTCCATTTCCCTGATGTGCCGACTACTTGTGGCGAAGCTCTGCCACATGTGCTTGTAGCCAACCGCCACACTTCAGCGGTTCAGGTCTCGTCAGCAGGAGCCTCTTTTCACCTCCACGAGAACCCAGCCGTAGAGTTGCGGATAACACTCGAATGGCACGATACGCTGGCTTGAATGTATTAAATTTTCTTTTCTTCTGGATGAACTTTGAGCGAAGGTGGGTGAGCTTCCTTCTGATCCAAAGGGACAGTTTGAATGGATAGCTCTGAGTTTGAAGATTTGGACGGTTCGGGATCTGGAACTACAGAGTACAGTTGTAGGCCGGTCTCGAACCTTTCTCACGCGATCAAACCAAACCCGACTGACACGATCGTTTGCCATACATACCATGTAATACCACAGTGGCACTCTGTGGTTCACCTTACGTCGTCGACAGCAAAAAAACGGACAATCGATCACTATGCAAGTGAATCAGAACTTACCGGAAATTTCTGGAAGAAGGTTTGGGCCAGTCCTCTAAAGAAGTGCTTGGTCTGTTGCCAGTGTTGGAGTCTCGATCTGAAGAGACTGGTGACCATGGTCACTGAGTTCTCTGCGACCACTGTCCTGAAGTACATCGGGCACCCCTGTCTTTCCGGGACAGTGCCCTACCGATTACCATGATTACGGATGAGGCTACCGGGGATCACACACAGGCGTGGGTTCTTCTTGCTACACTCCACTACACTACAGTTTTTGGTCTACACTAGCCCACACGGGTCACAGCCTACAGTCTGTAGTGAATCGTCCATTGAAGAACTGTAGAAACTAGATGAAGTGGAGAAGGCTAGTACTGGAAACTTCACGGACATGCTGTGTCAATACTCCACCTACAGTCAGTGGACACTGGGCACGGTTAGGAACAAAATAATGGTACGTGATGCCCTCGGGCCCGGAGGGGGCTAATCCCTCTTGGAGCGGATGATCATGCAGAGTCAGCATTCATTTACCACAAGCACAGTACCACAATACACACTTGAGTCCGTTTACTTAGCGGGGAGAATATCCGCAGCCGTGTCGGGATCGTACAGGCACGTATCGACCGCATGTTATTTCAGGCCGCGGTTTTCAACACTATGTACCAAGCACCTCGAATAGTGACGCGATTGAATAGCCTCCTTGGAGTAGATAATTGTTTATAGGGGCAATCATGATAGCAGCAAGTAGCACAGACGTCATAGCAAAATATCCTGCTTAATATAACTTTTAAAATAATTATACAAGTAAATTAATTAATAATACAGGCTACTTCCAAGCTTCCAGGGTGGAGTGATGGGAAGAAGAACGTGAAAAAATTGTAAACATGATTAGTAGTACATGTAGAAAGAAGATGTAGCATTTCGGATATGTTTTCGGATATGGCTCTCATAACGACATGTTGATTACGTGGGACTTCACTGATAGCGCTGGCAGAGTTAACAGTGTGACGTCGTCATGCACACACCACAACACACCGGCGGGCTGACTACGGCACTAGGGGATTTGGCTGGCAAAAACAGAAAGCAGCATTGGCTGTGTGGGGTAATACTAAACTGGCATAGTCATGCCAGGCTGCTAATTAGTGTGAAGTGTAGCCCCGTAAACATCATTGATGGCCCATACGGTATACTTCACATACATGTAGAGTAGGCACAATATTAGCCGGGAATCTGGGGAGTAGGTGACGGCCAAGGGTGGAGTGCGACGAAGGCAGCGGCAGCAGCGATGAAGCACACACACACACACACACACACACACACACACACACACACACACACACACACACACGTACACACACATACACACACACACGCACACACACGCACACACACACACACACATACACACACACACACACACACACACACACACACACACACACACACACTTGTACTTGTACTTGTTGCTCACTAACAAATTGGTCACGTGGGTCTCCCCGGGAGAGGGGAGAGAGACTCAAAAGGAATCTTGGAAAGATGACTCAATTGTCTATTGAACCGCCCAACGGCCGACACCCCCTGAAATCACCAAAACTCTGGGTGGACTTGAAAATGATCCCACTTATGGGCTCACCACACCTCAGTAAGTGGGTAAGGACAAGGCGCAGAAAAAGGATTGACGGCATCAGGGTATCCGTCCAGGGATCCAACTGCAGTTACCCCTGCCCCCAGTGAAGGTAATACTTGCTACTAGTGTGGGTGGCTAAATCAGAGTGGATCTGATATAAGCTCTACTAGCACCATTGATTACACAAGACACACACACACACACACACACACACACACACACACACACACACACACACATGCACTGTCTGCCTACTGGCATTTCTTCCGTTCGTCCGGAATCAGAACGTTGGCTGGCGTGGTGCTGAGCAGCACGGAGTGACGCTCGTACGCCTTGGATTTACGGAAGCGGTCGTCAGTGCCGTGCAGCTGATCAAAGATTCCCAGCATGCCAAAGTTCTGGTTGAACCTGCAGAGCAGCCACCAAGACCAACAAAAATGGCAGCAGTGCATTAGTAGATCATATGATAGATCACACTCAATGTCATCTAAGTGAGGAGTGTTACTATCATAATTATAATAGGGAGTCCATAAGTAACCCCAAGAGTATACAGTTATGTACTTGGGGACTGGTGTGGCGCCCCTACCCACAGCACGTAGCCACGAACCGTGCACATGGAGTCAGGTGGGTCGTTGCGTCAATATTGGTCTGCAATGGTTTTCTGCCCCCAAGTTTGCTTTTCTTGAGAAATTCCAATGGTTTTGTACGTGATACGTCGCGCAAAGGTAGTGCTTTTGAACCTACCATATTGCATGTAAAATCGTTGCGGCTAAACCGTAGGAAAGTTCAAACCCCTGGCAGTTCTATCACCACTGAAGGCAGCCGTGCACCATGCACAGCAGTCAGCACCCATACTAGCTTGGAGATCACCATGCACAGCACCCATACTAGCTTGGAGATCACCATGCACAGCACCCATACTAGCTTGGAGATCACCATGCACAGCACCCATACTAGCTTGGAGATCACCATGCACAGCACCCATACTAGCTTGGAGATCACCATGCACAGCACCCATACTAGCTTGGAGATCACCATGCACAGCACCCATACTAGCTTGGAGATCACCATGCACAGCACCCATACTAGCTTGGAGATCACCATGCACAGCACCCATACTAGCTTGGAGATCACCATGCACAGCACCCATACTAGCTTGGAGATCAGACTTGCACACTACAGTAGTGTGCGTACAGACGCAGGGCCGACGGAACCGGTCCGATTGGTCAGGTTATCACCGGGCCAACATCTTAGCCACCGATACAGTCATGTCTACGAGACTCGTACTGCTATGGAGGTCATGTGTACCGGCCACATCATACACAGAGTATAAAATGCACTGAAACTTCTGGACCAATCAAGAACTGCTTCTGGCGGTCCTGACACTCATGGTAATGACTATAATTATGTAGTATGCTATAAGCATGATGAGCGGCATCAGGTCATGTGACAACAGCTATATACATGACGGAACCCAAACGGTAAAGTCATGTACACAAGCGACACTGCCTCTCAGAATCTTGAGAGATGCACCCGCGGGCTATCGCGCCATAGCTGAACATAGTCGCGGCTCAGCACATGTTTGTGTCCGCTGACATTCGGCACCGAGGGCCCGCATTACACGGTACAATTGCGGTACGCACGATACACTCCAATGGGTAATGTGACCAGTCTTAACCAATTGTTATGGCTGGCGTTGACGTGGGGCGATGCAGTCAAGACACAGTGTGACTGGGGCGTACTTGGCAAAAGAAGTATTCATTGCCCAAAGTTTTTGAATAGTTTGCACATGACTTCTACATGCAGTCAGACATACTACTTTATTCGGGGGGGGGGGGGGATTTCCCTTTTTTTCAGGGGGAATATCTGGGGAGGGAAGGGTGTGAGCTTCAGTCAGATTTTGCATTCACTGCCTCCCGTGTGCAGGGCAGTACAGCTAACAACCAGTACAGTAGACTCGTACGGCCAAGAACGCGGTTTCAGAGGGCCAGCCTAGCAAAGTTCTTATTTTACAGCGCCCCAGGCTACGTTCTTATTTCGCGTTCTTACGCGTCCAACAATCGTGACGCTCATGGACAATGCACTTTGCGCTACATGTACCGGTTGTACACTTTTTTTACATGCACGTGTAGTATGTAGCGCTTTACTGGGTGATGTTTTCGCGAGGACCCGACAAGAGTTTGTGGTTGCGGACTTGTTTTTCGTGTACTCGGACAAGATCATGAGGGTGCAATACCAAAAAATGTCGCGTTCTTAAAAATCTTGGAGTTCGTTCTTAAATCCAGGCTGCGGCGTTCTTAGATTTCCAGCCTGGACGTTCTTGGGCGCCACGTTCTTGGGCGTACGCGTCTACTGGACACAACACATTACTAACTGTGAGTGATGGAAGTCGTGGGACTCGTTGGACTGCATGAACGGCAGGTGGAAGCCGCAGTGCGAGATGGACGTGGACGCCTGCACGATGTAGACCCACAGTAGCAAGGACACAAAGTGGCAGCCGAGCAGGACGGGACCGGCCGCGACGGGTACCACGTTGGAGAGAAGGTACTCGATCGGGTGGCAGTACAGAGCCGAGATGCTGATCGGCGCCGTCCACTCGTGGTGAATCTTGTGAACGTGTTTGTACCAGAAAGGCATGTGAAGTACACTACAGCCACAAAACAAAAATAGGGAGTGAGTGTGAGAGAGAAAGAGAGAGAGAGAGAGAGAGAGAGAGAGAGAGAGAGAGAGAGAGAGAGATAGGGAGAGAGAGAGGGAGGGAGGGAGGGAGAGAGAGAGAGAGAGAGAGAGAGAGAGAGAGAGAGAGAGAGAGAGAGAGAGAGAGAGAGAGAGAGAGAGAGAGAGAGAGGGTGAGAGAGAGAGAGTGAGAGAGAGAGAGAGAAAAAGAGAGAGAGAAAAGAGAGATCGCTCGAAAACACCAACCAACAGCACTGTTCTAAGACAAGGAGGCAAGTGACAAAAGACAAGATAACAGAAACTACTCTGTTACTATCGATATGGCATTCAGTTGTACGAGAGCCAGGATACCATTATTCCAGTAGGTTATCTGAAGGCCACGGATCCAAAGGAATAGGAGAAACACTGAGTGTCAACAATGCAACCAATGGCATTCAATACGCAATTCCACAAAGTCAGGGCTAATTGTACCCAAGTATTGGCATATTAGTATGATATTACCGAGATTTAGAAGACGGGAAAGACTAAAGATATGTAAATAGAATTCCTATCTTGTATGCATTGTTATATCATGCAGGCTCGACCCATGGAGGACACGCACCCCATCCTATTTTCTTCTTAGCGTAAAAAGCAACTTCATGTCACTGCACTCCTTCCTTACCGGTGCAGATAGTAGAACAACACCTCAAAGACAAAGGCAAAGATTGCCACCTCCACCAAACACCACTTGAAGGACGGCAGGGTCTCGGCAAAGAATCCGCCGCGCTTTTGGAAGACCCAATACAGGGCCAAGTGGCCGCCAAAACCCACAACCCACTGGTTGAAGAGGACAAGCTTCACGCACTTCTTGAACGCCCGCCACTCCACCTGTATGGAATCACACACACACAAAGACCAAGGATTGATAGAAGTTGAGCTAACAGTGTCCAACCCTGGGCTACTACAGTTGTGGCCAAAGAAATCCAACCCATGGGCCCAAAGCGGCACCAAGGCTCATGTGGCCACTGCGGCCCTCAGATCAGCTTTGGGACTACGAACATGCATGATATAATTGAAATGGAAATGGAAAAGAGGCGCTGCTTTTGACTCGCGGGTCGGATTTCTTTGGCCACGACTGTAGTTTCAAATGTAACGTCCAACACAGGCCATCGATGTTTGCCCACTGGAGCATTTTCCGTGCCTGAATCAAGCAGGCCTGAGCAGCTGGCGTGGAACCCAGTTGTGTGTACATGCAAACACATTTGACAATATTACACGCACGCATGCACGTGCGCACGCGCGCGCGCGCGCACACACACACACACACACACACACACACAGCTGTTGACTAGTATAATATACAAGTTGCACCGAGAAGAACTTCTGGCATACAGAACACTATGACTGACCACTGGTGGCTTCTGGTTAGGTTGGATACGGTATTGCAAGATGTTTGAAGGGTTTCCAGTCAGTTCCAGGAAGAGGAAGAATATGTTGAACAGCCAAAAGAAGACGACCATGGAGACATATTGAACTGCAAACACACACACACGTGCACGCGACACAGTCACCATTAGGTCATTTGATGACATGACAGGACAGTACACCAGCTATTGCCAATAGGATTAAAGGGATGAGCCTACAAGCTGTATCAACGACAAGACCAGTCACAAACATCCCTGTCATGGAGGTAAATACCGTATATTCCAGCTCTCTTCTGCTGCACCAGTACAATGAAAATTAAAAAAAATAGGGGTCAAAGGGGTGTACCGGGTACCCGGGTACATGACCGTTAATCTCAGGTACCGTTAGTAAAAGGGTACCCGTTTGGATTTTGATGAACCAGTCGGTACGGAGCAACACTGCTGGGATCGTGTCTTCCAGGCGGGAGTCAATTATTTACAACTCCACGCTGGATGTCTGCATTGTTGTTGCATTTCGCACCTAGTAGATCTACTCCTGCAACTATCAGACACCAATCGATTTGCGAATCATGTGATATCAAAATGCAACCCGAGCACAGATGAATTAAAATCTTGATTTATGTGAAAATTGCACAAAACATTAAACATGGCTGCTAAAGGGTACCCGTTAACCCGCCCATTAAGAAAATTACCCGTTCGTTAGTTAAAGGTACACCCGTTTGACCCCTTAAAAAAATATAGAGAACTCTGGCTATAACATACCATGGGATATAGGAGTATTATCTTGTGGAACCCTGAACTTTGCCATAGCAGGCACTTGACCATGGATGCAGTACTTTGGCTAAAGTCAGGGCCAGTGGCGCAAGCACATCACGTACAAGCGCATCCAGTCACCGGATTTTTAGATGCACGGAAACATTGCTACAGGAATAATGACGCAATGGCCCACAGCCTGTGGCTACGTTAAGTGGGCAGCGCGACGCGCCACAGCCCATATGCAGAGTTGCACACTCTTGGGGTTATGTACTCTTGACAACTGCTAAAAGACAAACACTAGACCAAAAAGACCTGTAATAAAACTCGTAGCGGTAGGTCAGAATAGAAACGTGTCCTGTTAAACCCAACTTACGGGTATATAGAAGAAACTCATTGCCTTCCGCTATATCGTGATAGAGCTGGTTCCATCTGAGCTGCCAGAACTGATTCGATGCACCCCAGAGTTCTGTCATGTGCCTGCGGAAACAGTAGCAATACACAGGGTACGCGGTCCACGATACAACGAGACATTATCAACGTGTCATGATCACAGAGCCTCTGGATCTGCTGCAAACATGACTTGTACAGGCCGGCGGCCGGAAGCGGTCCGGTAGGTCAGGTTACCATCGGATCAACTTGTTGGCCACCAACGCATGTCACGTGTTTACTACGGCGGAGGGCATGTGTACCCGCCGCCGTATCACACACAAATCATGAAAGGCCATGTTACTGCAGGACCAATCAAAAACTGCTGCCGATGCTCCTGATGTATATTTTATATGGACTTTAGTGAGAGACCTAGACCAGGACAGAGGAGGGAACGACAGAGGTGGGTGACTCCATGAACAGGCAGATACTAGTAGCGAGGACTAGTAGGGGCTCATGGGAGCAGCACACACCTAAACATTCGAACGATAATGTGACATCGTCAAAAAGTCTTTCTGAAACTGACATGCACATTCACATTGCATTCAGATGCTCAGTCTAGATCTAAGCTTCGGTACGCACTACATAGTATGATAGTCCTTTTACGGTACGGGTCATGTACGGGATACCTCGCCAACCGTGGCACGTCACGTGAAAGGCACCATCACACACATACCTAAACCGAATTAAAGAGTTGTGGACCCTGGCTAGCACCAGAGCAGAGTTACTGAAGTAGAAGTAACGTCTTTTGCATAGCGACGGCAATAAAAAACAATACTGTCAAATGATAATATCCACACAGAGAATCATGAGCAAAGTTCAGGTGTGCTGTATCTGTAGCAAACCCCTACAATTAATATTTTAATATTAATTGTAGGGGTTTGCTACACATACAGCACACCTCAACTTGAGTTAGGGGCCGTCCGTAAATATCGATGTTTTTTTAGAGACGATATTGGTGCTTCTCTCCCTTGACCCCCCTCCCTCCCCCCAGAAGACGCACATGTACATCTAGATCATGGAATCAATATTTTTGGATGCTCATGAAGTGCCCAGGATGTTGAGGGTCCGGTGTAGGCGTGAAAATCCCGCCGCACTCACGCAATAGCTGCATCGCCTGGGGGGAGGGAACCGGGTTGGCGCTGCAGTGCTCACAGCAATCGTGTACTGGTGTAGACAAAGCGGCTACGCTCGGGCTTGAATTTTTTCAAATCCTTGTTCAGACAGTGAAGACTGGAAACTCTTGTGGAGTTCGTCCGTGTTTGTTCGCACTGCCTCTACGTCTTGAAAAAGGTCTCCTGCAGGCATCGTTCGGCCGATTTCCACAATCAATAGCTCATTCTTTTGCTCTTGAAATTCGCCATGGGCGTACAGCTTCCAATTTTTGATTTTGTTCTCGTGTCGCGAGTTTTAGCTCCGCGAACGGAAGCTGGTTTCAAATTTCTTGTATAGCCATTTAGACGTCCGCGTGCAGGGATCGGCGAAACTTCAGATATTTACATCGATATTTTTCTGATGCTCGAAAAGACGCACATGGCTCAAACCCCCTCCCCCCCCCCCCCCCAGACGCACCAATATCGTCTCTAAAAAAACATCGATATTTACGGACGGCCCCTTAGAGCCTGTGACAGATATTGTATGTCTTGGTCCATGACATGTAGATCTACATGTAGCTACACACACACACTCATGACTGTACAAGCCGGAGCTGTACATGATGTATACAGTTTATGGCACAAGAGCTGACACAGTCTGTGTCACACTACAAATAGTACAATGCATGCTGTAGTGCGCCCGCCGCCCAGCTAGCTGAGCGTGTCGTCAGTGATGTAATGCGTGAGTGAGCACTGAGCGCTCTGGCGAGACACTCCCCTGGCCCTCCGCCCTCACCCGCCATCAGTGTTACTGTAACTTCTGTAAGGGTAACTGTAAGCCAGTGCAGGGGCAGGGAGTCCGCCCCCCTGCACTGGCTCAGCTCATGCATTCATTCAGCCAGCAAGGACTCGAGTACTCCTTGTCCAGACGACCCTGTCCCGCACTGCACTGCCTGAAAAATGCTAAGCCCAAACAAGACATGCCAGCATACGCCGGGCCTATGAAAAACATGTGCAACCACACATCGAGAGCGAGCAGGAGCATGCGCCCGCCGGAACCAGAACAATCTCACAACCGACAAGGCGGACACAAAAATTACTAAAATAATAATTAGTCAATCTGCGGACAGAAATGTTTCGTCCTTTGTGGACTCGTCAGCGCAGCACAGAGGAAATGAGGCCGAACATAATTAGTCAGTTCTTTCATAGAGTCGCTGGTAGAGCTTCACGGTATTAGAAAACAACCACAAGTTCTCGGGCACAAGCATCGATTCGAGTTGGCTGAGTTGACGATTCGAGCAAACCAAACATCTCGAGTAGATAGTACAGCGGTAGCAAGAACAAGCAATCTTATCGCGGCGGGTGGCGCAACATGGAGTAACCTGCGCTGCAGCCGAGTAGTGTAGGCGCACGCTTCACATGCAAAAGTAACTAAAACACGGCCGAGTCTGTGGTCAAGCTCGAGCTCCAGCAAAATACACAGACGTTCACATGGACACGGGGAAATGAGTACTGCAACATTACCGAACACCAACACTAGGCTAGCCACACTATCACTGTATCAGGCTATCGCCATCGCCCAAACTTTCAACATTACGCACGCCCATTGCCAATACCGCAGAGAAATAAATTCATTTGAAAAACAACCAGAAACAGCTGCACATCATTTTGGACTCAGAGGTGCTTACCGGTGCAGAGAGTTCTGAACGGCAGCGATCAGGAGAATGGAGGTCCCGATGACGACCACCGTCCCCCGTACTGCTGTCAAGATTGACATGCTCGGCACTAACCTAACTGATGCTCCTGCAGTGCTGGTCTCCCTACTCGCTATTCCGTCAAAACAGCCAGCAAGAAACCGAAATCAATGCCCTGCTGATTGCAATGGGAAAGCCAATCGCAAGCACAGCAACCTCAACTCTCCAAAGGATTCTGCCGCGGAAGACCAGCTTTTGTTTTCTTCCCTAGCTGTCTTTGCAGTCAGTCGTGAGTATCCATTTGGTATCTGTCAGAGTCAGACTGTCAGCAGACTGAGCAGAGGGAAAGACAGTGAAGTCTGAGCTTTTTATTAATTTTGAGTTTGCCAGCATGTGTGCAAATGCGAGTATGGACAGCCTATGGCACCTGATGATTTGCTCCCACGGCAACCAGCATCCTGTCATGATAACTATCAGGGCTCACCACGACCATACAAAGCGTCAATAACGGTCATTTGGATTTGACCAATCAGCGCACAGCAAAACGGGCTGTTTCTTGCAATTGTGGGGTGTTTTCTGAGTGGAGCTTGGCTGTATTCGTTGGTTTTAGACATTAGGCCATTGTGGATTCGTGTTCAGAAGGTGTGTCTTTGGGGGGTTACCGTCTCGAATTTTTCGATTTGGCCTTCGTTTGGCTGAGATCGGATGGTGAAATCACTCAAACGCGAAGGCGTGCAAACAAGTGAATGAAGAGAAAATTAGAAATCGGGGACGGTAAACCGATAGAGAATTCCAAGACCTTGAAAATGAGCTATCGATGATGAGAATCGGCCAAGGAGAACCGCTGTTCTACTTTTTTGAAGACATCAAGGTCGGCCGTGCGTCGCCGCGCGCACCAACAAAAACTGGCAGCCGTGCGCATATCTGCAAGTGCAACAAGAAAGGGCGGAGGAGACAGCAAGCGTTCCAAGTGAAGAGTTTACTTTCGTGTTGACTCAAGCTAAGGACTCATGCCAATCAGGGATCATACTAGTCACCTCTCATCATGGTCATGACTAAGGGATTCATTTGTGACAAGGAAACTCCCCACTCGCAGCGTGAAAGCTGCGAGGCCAAACAGAAAAGAGTGTGCCGAGTCGCGATCAGGAAACGCTGAGTTCTACTGACAACATTGGTTAGCTAGGCGCGGCAAATTCTTGTAGATGCCAGGACTCAAGTTCACCAGTACCCCACGGACATATCTTGGTCGACATCCACCAGCGGATTGAGAAAAATGACCAAGATTGCTTGGAGAAAGGACGTCTTCTCCGCGTGTCTTTCTCGACATCAAACAACAAGATTCGCTTCGGCACTGGCCCTTCGCTGTACAGAGTAGACCAGGAAGTCGTAAAATACCGGTATTTTACGACTAGACTGTACATCGCTGTACATCGATGAGCATGAACTCGGGTGCGTAGCCGCTATGACTGCACAAACTCTGGCTTTGGCGGCATTCAAAATGGTGGTCGACGCTTTTTGAATTTTGTATGGTCGTGGTGAGCCCTGACTATGGTGTCTGGTGATAATGTGCTATTAAAATGTTAATTTACTAATGGCGCCATTACTACTCCCGGAAAAGTGTTGCAATCCGGCGTCTCAGTCCCTCGGTTCTGCTCTAGGTTTGGCTTGTTCGCCCTCTGTGACATCAAACCAGGATGAACAGCGGACCGTGGACTTGCCACAGCATGCACACTAGGGCTAGGCGGATAATGCTCGCCGAAATCCCTCATTCTGCTTTTCGGTCTGCTCAATATTCTGCTCATGAAAGTGCATTTTCTGCTGAAATTTCTGCTGAAATCCAGTTATGTAAAAATACACTTGGCACACATAATTGGGTTCAGGATCTAAAAAGATGAGTCATGTGAAATACTAGACAAGGCATTCTAGCCTTTATGATCAGTTCTCATTTGGACTGACTGCGTTAGCCAGAGGAAATGGCTGTGCTGAAGGCTGGGGAAATATCACACAAAGAGGTAAATGGGGCTGCTAAAAGGCAATAACGTATGAAGGCTAGCCACACTACATAATATGGCCCAGGTGCAGCGATTTTCGACCTTCGTTGCAAAATGCTTGTTTTGCGAACATTTTCAAGTCTGACTTCACTGGTGTCGTGATCCACGGAATACCCGTCCGCGGCCCGGCTTGCGCAGCAAAAGATGATTCGATTTGAATCTTTTCACACAGCGGGCTTTTTCACCGAAGGTCGAACATCGCTGCAACTGGGCAATATTATGTAGATCTACGACTCTTACTTAGACTTCTGCCACTGGCCTGCCATTCAAGGCTGCTACCTTCCACAAAGTAACAGCTTCGGCCACATTTGGTGGATGGATGGACTGCGTGTCGAAGAACGCGGCAAATCTGCTGCAAAAGCAGAACGTCGCACGCCAATTCCGTGGTAACTGTCATTTGACATGGCAGAGAATGCTTTTTCAGCCCCCGTTCTGCCGAAATATGCTCGACCCCCCAAACAGGCGTTTTCTGCCGAAAATTCTGCCGGCATTATCCGCCAAGCCCTAATGCACACGGAAGCAACTAACTTACTTTCGATGGTTTCATCATAAAATTTATGATGGTCTAACTAACACCTGTTCGAATTGATTCAGAACACTTATGATGAACTTGTTCATTTTCGTCCCAATGCTTTCCAAGTACCAACAGGAAAACTCTTTCGTGACACAACTAACAACTTACCTATCCTGTTTCGGTCGTGCCGGGCCTTAGGGCCGTTTCACACGAGGTATACATGGCTTTTCACGAATGGGCGTTCTACTTCTAGGCACAGTCTAGTACACAGCGCGTGATTTCACACGAGTGTCGCAACATGCTTTTCAAGGAGCAGTTGCCATGGCAGCTTTGACCTGCCTCGCACAGAAGTCGTAAAATACGGAATCCGCACGCGAACGCGGGAGTTTTGAACACAAAATAATAATAATTATTATTAGTTTGGCAAGGAGATGTTCTCTCCCTGATTCTCGTTTTCTTTGATCGCCACAAGGAGAGAAAGATGAACGGACGAGAGAGGTTGCAAAGGATGGCGAGGCGTAGAAGGACTACATTGCCCTCGCTTGTTCAAAGTGTAATTTCAAGTTTTTCTCTGGATTCAACCATCCTGAGCGGAACGCAGCATTGAGTTTCTCGGCGATCTCCCTTTCCCTCACAATACGCTTCACCATCTGGCCACTTTTTGACTTTTGATAGTCGGCCCACAACTCAATAAGTCTAGCCTCCAGGTCATCAGAGAATATTTGGCGAGGCATTGTCCGAAACGGAAGGCACAACCAGCAACCAGCAATGAAAGCAAACAGAAGCAAAAAAAGCAAACACGACGACAGATCACAATGCAAGGAAAACGAAGTTTGTCAGTAGAACGCTGGGTATATCCTGCTTTCTACACCCCTCCTGGTCTTGCTGAAAACGTACACGATGCGTTTCACATTTCGCGCCAAAAGTGCTCCATCTCCTAGGGAACATAACCGGAAACGTGACATGTACGCGATTTTGTACCTCGTGTGAAACGGCCCTTACGAAGGAATTGCTATAAAGGTCGCCATGGTATATCAACAGCTCTTGTTTCAAAAACCATGTGGCGTGAGGCCTGACTCTGCAGCAGCATGTTTGAAACGTCGAATGGAGTTATGGAGCCGGGGCGAGGTTCGGGAGCTCCTTCATGAGTGCAGAAGTTGAACTGAACAATCCACCAGCAGCTGGATGATCGGGCAAAAAGAACTCGTCCGTCCAATATGAATGATCCTGCCAGAGATTTTGCCTCAACGGTGACATCAGGCAAACTCAAGTCAGCTTTGCGAATGCTGGATGGTAATGAGCGGGGAAGTGCGACTTGACGATGAAATTGATGGTGAAATGGTGCGTGATATTCTGAAGGGTAAACATCCGGAGGCAACGCCTATTCATCCCGGATCTGTACCTGATGGTGCCCCGCTACAGCCTCCACATCCATTTCTATTTGCAGCTATAACAAGAGATAGCATTCGACAAACTGCTCTGAAGGTCGAGGGAGCTACAGGACCATCTGGAGTGGAGGCATCTGGCGGCGTATGCTCACTTCGTTCGGTCAGGCATCTGGTGGTTTATGTGATGCTATCGCCACCTGTGCCATTCGCATCGCCACCGCTTGTGCTGATCCAGTCAGTTTAGAAGCCTACACCGCTTGCAGGCTTATTCCTCGGGACAAAAATCTAGGCGTGAGGCCCATCGGGATAGGCAAGGTAATGCGACGCATAATCGGGAAAGCAATAATTATGGGTGTTCTTGGCAATAAAGTCCAGGAAGTAGCAGGTTCTCTTCAGCTTTGTGCCGGTCGGGAATGCGGTGTCGAGGCTGCAGTTCATGCAATGTGTGGTGTCTTTCACTCACCAGACGTTGATGGAATTATGATTGCTTATGCGTTAAATGCATTTAACAGACTGAATCGTGGATACTGTCTACAAAATATCCGTCATTCATGCCCTTCTCTCTCTTCCGCGGTCATTAAAGGGGAAATTAAGGCAAACATTAAAATTTCACCAGTTGTAGTCTTCGGGGTGCTGAGTCGAATGGTCTTGGTCCGAGAAAGCTGGGACGCCCCCTTCCTACTTGAATCCCAATTGAACTCGCGCACTTCCACCGAAACTGGGTGACTGCGCCCTACTAGATGGGGATTTGTATGCAAAATGTCACTAAAAGCGCCATTTCGTTCTTATAAAAGCACGGATGACCGCGATTGGCCCATATGTTGTAGTCTTTTGGACGCTGAGTCGACTGGTTTTGGTCCGAAAAGGCTGCGAAGCAGCGTTCCTCCTTTATTCCCAATCGAACATGGTTGAACAAGCGGTCACGTGCTCCTGGGTGCCCAAATCACCTGGTCACCGCGCCAGTAGGCGACAACTTTCACACCAAGGTTCAACTCGAGTTCAACTCGAGTGACAGGACTGCACTCAAAAAAAGGTCAAACAGGCTAGTAAGTTGTACCCTGCAGGCACGGTGACCAGGTGACTGGCGTACGCAGCATCACGTGACCGCTTGTTCAACCATGTTCGATTGGGAATAAAGGAGGAACGCTGCATCGCAGCCTTTTCGGACCAAAACCAGTCGACTCAGCGTCCAAAAGGCTACAACATATAGGCCAATCGCGGTCATCCGTGCTTTTATAAGAACGAAATGGCGCTTTTAGTGACATTTTGCATACAAATCCCCATCTCGTAGGGCGCAGTCACCCAGTTT